AATATGTGCAGGTGGGGCGGTCCCAGGTCCTTGCGCTTCTCCTCGGTGCTCAGTCGGTGGTACTCCTGCCCCATGCGCATGCCCTCGGACGCCACTGCGTGCGCCATCGGGACTATGAGGCAGTCCCACAGCGCTCCCATGAGGATCCTCAGCGTCTGTGTGTTGTTGAGCGTGAGCTTCTGCAGCGTGAAGATCTTCTCGTTCGCTGTCACATCCACATCTTCGTCTGAGCCAGCTCCAGCCCCCTTGCCTCGGGCACGCTTGAGCTGTCTGCCTCCTCGTCGTGGCCCTGCCCCTGCGTTTGCTCCTTGAGACCCCTGGGCGGGCAGTCCAATCATCCACGACATCGCGTGCTGGGCCTGCGGCGTGCTGCTGGACGTGATCGAGGTGGGCTGTGAGCTCGGTGCTGGAATGACTGCACAGCTCGCAAGAGTAATTGGCCGCCTCGATCGGCTGAAACTCGAACGAAACGGCTCTGGTCGGGCAGCGAAGAGGACTAGCCCGAGACATGGCCCACACGTGTCTGATTCAACTGGCCCGAGGCGCAAATATCCTCCGACACCAGGGACACACGTTCGTCGTCGTGAGCATGGAGTAAAGCTCTCTCATTTTGTGCGTCTTGTTCAGGTGGGCAGTCAAGGCCCTCATCGTCGTAAACACGCTCCCACATACATGGCCTTCAGATGTTTCGTGTGTGCATATGTACTCGTTCGCGTCCTCCTCCCCCGCTATGTACTCCGCTCCTTTGTATTTGTCCTCCTTCTCCTCCGCCTCGTAATGCCTGTCAAACAAGTGCCTGATGTGCTGTGGCCTTTTTCCGATTAACACCTTCCGAAACTCCTCCTTCCTGAAGAAATCTAATAACCCGTCCCTCGAGTTCCAAGCCTGAGCGAACCTAGAAGCAGGATCGACCTGCGCGAAAATCTCGAGGTCGGGGTACACTTGTCGAGCCCACGGGGTGCTGTGTTCGTTGGGGTCCCCATGTGCTCCCATGCGAGGCCTATCTACTGCGAGGTCCATTCGAGTACTTCCAAAAATACCTGCAAGAACTTGGGAGTGTCTTTGGGGATGCTGCGCCATTTTTTGGTACCATCTGATCCGCTGGATCCTGAGCTCGACGACTGTCCGCGAAAACTTGTGGTGCGCGAACACTTGCGCGTAAGTCTCCCCTCTGACCTTCCCGTTTATCTCCTCTGTAGTCCCTCTGCTGAGTACACGCAAGAAACGGATAAATACCACATCGAGCTTGTCTGTGAAGCTGCGTGGCAGTACGAAGCCTGTAAGCCCCGATAGTCCTGCGCTCTGCACGTACGCAATGAAAAGAAGTCTCCTCATCCTGAGCGGCACTGGTTCAGCCCACAGCTTTCCCAGCGATCTCCACCCAGCTCGAGCGGCACGGATGCGCCCTCGAAGCTCTGCACGCAAACTGCCGTCAAACGTGATGAGAGGTCCTAATACACGTGCCTCTCTGACAATACTGCCTGATACCGAGCTGGATGCTGCAAGCGTCTTAACTGCTGCGAACGACCCCTTGCCTATGATGTGCGTGATGTGATTCGTTTTGCTTTCGTTGAGTGTGTGCCCCGTCGCCCCGATGCATGTGCTCAGCTTGCTTGTTGCCGTGTTTAGCTGGAGCTCCATTGCACGTGGTGACGCGTCATGTGCATGTATGTGTACCCTGGATATGTCGTCTACGTACAGCCCAATTCCGATGTCCTCCACCTGCCCTCCAGTCTCCGTCTCCTCCTCCTCCAGTAAGTTGTCGCATTGCAACCAAGTATACGTGTGACCGTGCTCCCCCAATTGTTGATTCCATTGCTGCACTTGCGGCGTGTATACTGCAATAAAGTCCCCTGCTGCCAATGCATGTCCCATAGTAGTGCCCCTTGCTGGTTTCATATCTAGCTCGCCATCGATGCCGTTGGCGTGCACAACTAAACCGTCGATGGCATGCTTGCACAGTTCGATGTTGTGCTCGTAGTGCTGCGCGCTGTGCAATGCTCTCAAATGCTCCCTGTCCGTGCTCGCGAACGCGTTCGTGCCATCAAAGTTGCTCAGCGTGTGACTCAGCTTCAAACCTCTGCAGCGCCACATCGCGCTGCTCAAGGCGAGAATGGCCCCCTCTCTCCTTCGACCTGGTATGCCTCCGTGAGCAAAAGACGGAAACTTCGGAGGTGCCCTGAGCCTGCGCGCGAGTTGGCCAAACCAGCTCATGCTGCAGGAGTCGAAACAGTGCAGGAGCCGTTGTCCCTTGATTCCTATCTTCCCGTTGTCCTTGCTTTGGGCGAACATCTGCGAGCGGAGGGAGCTGGGAGGAACCTGATCTGTCTCTCTGACAAGTGTGACGAACTGCTGATACTTGTGAAGAAATGCCGTAGGCGTGATGTCCACCTCCCAGCCGTTGCCGTTGGGGTCCTCCGCCCTGTGGTACTCAGGAGATAGCAATTGCAGCAGCGCCTCCGCGTACACTCCCCACCTCGGGGTTGCTCTGCGCTTGGGG